TGAGTAACTGGTAAATTGCTTTCTAAATTGGTTGTGCCATCTCTTGTAATCTTTTAGTAATTTTATTATGCATGTTCTACTCTACAGGTAGGTAAATTGAGGCTCTAAGAAGTAGTCAGTTGCATAGGGTCCCAGGCTAGTTTGACAGTCTCAGATATGACCTGTTCTCACAATATGCTTGTATTTGAAGGATTGGGCCAATTAAACTTCTATGGACTTAACCCCAGCATCCAACTTCCAGCCCTAGAGATCATCAACTCTTAGAATGGTTCCTCATCCATCTAGTATTCTATGGTTTACCACAGTGGCATTTGACACTCTAACAACTAAGGAGGGAGACAGTCTGAGCTACCAGGGTCTGAAACAAGCTCCAAGAAAGGGGCTTAGCCTAGAGTGAGTGACTCACCAGCCATTTTCTTGATGCCACATGGCCAGAAATTCTTAGAGACCTGTAGTCTGCATTCCATTTGCTTTCGGTTTTCCACAAAAAGAGCAACAGCAGACATGGGAGCAGGCACAGGCCATTTTGCTCTTAAACCCCGTCTGGGAAGGCATTCCTCCTTTCCAATGACTGAACACAGCTCCCAGGAGGCAGAGTGGGTCTATTCCAGGGAAGGAGGAACCAGATATATACACTTTGACCTAACAATGCTGGTCCTAATATTCTTTCCAAAACATAACTACCATTCTGTCCTGTAATGTACCCGACAAAAGCAACCAGGGAGAGATGTTCATTCATTTGGGACACACAGCTTAAGGGTCCAGTCCATTATCATGGTGAGGTAGCTCTATTTGTTCGAGACAAGTCTCACCATGTAACCCTTGGGATACAAGGTATGTGCCACCAGCTCCTTTGTCTTTTTCCATTTTATTTAGTACTGGACATCAGCCCATGGAATGGTGCCCTTCACGTTCACAATTGGTCTTCCTCCCTCTTCAGTTCAACCTTTCTGGAAACCTCACAGACATGACCACAGGTGTCTCCTAACTCCAAATCAAGTTGACAGTGACACAGATACCCAGAGATCTCAGAGCAAGGGTACCTGTCTTTTAGAAACATGACAGACTGTAGTTGATGACTTGATTCTGAGGCTTTTTCTTCTTTTGAGCCAGGGTCTATGTTACCTAGGCTGGCCTCCAACTCCAGGGCTCAAGCAATTGCCCTGCCTATCCAAGTTCAAGTAGTTGGGACCAGGTAGGCACTACCATGCCTGGCTTCTTTTAGACCATTTCTTCATTAGTAAAATGGAATACTGGAAAGAAGCAAAAACAAATGCTTAATTATTTTGAGATTGTAGTGTGACATGTTCTTAAGCACTTGCTTAAGGAAAATTCCCAGTAACAATGGGCAGAGGTGACAGAATTCATCAATTTCATGAGTCCACTATAGCCTACAGCTATAGCACTGAAGTTAACAGCTTAATCCAAAGCATGTGGATTGCTTCACGCCTGTCCTAAATTACCATGTGTCCTTGTGTAAATTTATTTAACTTTAAGAACACCATTTTTCCTCTTCTGAAAAAATGGGAATGCTATTAATTACTTGGTGAGCCAGTGTGCTTTGATTCTGAAGCCTTCAGAACAAAGCAGGCTCACTGTTAGTTTATGCGTGTCTGGGTGTATATGCACACAAATGCATGTGGGTGCAAGTGAAAAGCCAGATGTTCTTGTAAAATGTCTTCCTCAATTATACCCCACCTTATTTTCTGAAATAGTCTCTCAATGAACTCACCAGTTCAGTTAGATTGGCTGGCCAGTCAGCTCCAGGAACTGTCCTGTTTCTGCCTTCCTAGTGTAGACAACATGGTGGAGATTGTTTTATGTGGTGTAGGGACCTTAATTAACTCAGGTCAAGCTTATTTGGTAAGTGCTCTCCCAACTGAACCATCGCTCTACCTCCCAATGTTAATTTCTTTAACGCCAGAGCATTGTCAAATTTTTTTGCTTTTGTTTTTTGGAGATAGGATTTCTCCTGAAACAGTCCTGGCTGTCCTGGAAATCGCTTTGTAGACCAGGGTGACCTCAAACTCACATGGATCCACATGCCTTTACCTCCCAAGTACTGGGAGCACCACCACCACTCGGTTAAGTTTTTTGTTTTTAAATGTCTTTAAAATTTATGTCTGTGTATACAGGTGCCCCCTCGGGTCAGATGGAGTAATTGGCAATTGTGACCAACGTGGGAAGGATGATGGGAACTAATCTAGGATCCTCTGAAAGAGCAGCAATCTTCAAGCACTGTATGACTGTAGTGAATGGGGCTGGCTGTTCCATGGCTGTTGTACCCATGAACTCACAGCACAAGGCCTGCTGGAAACTGGGGCCTACCAATATTCCATCATGGATGGGGAAGGACGGTTATAAGGTCCCACCCTCCCTGAGGATCTAGAGGCAGTTAACAGTTGTTTGGGTAGAAAGGAATAGTCTTTAGTGGTATAGCCACTGTTACGTTGTTGCCCTTGATCAAATACACAACCTTAATTAAATGCAGTGACATACACACATACACACACAAACATGAGAGGAAACTTGTTGGGAAGAGTGTTTGCTGGGAGGAGGAGAGAATAATGATAATGGAGGGCATATGACCAAAGCATACACATACACATATATATTAGCTATCTTTTTGGTTTACGAGATAGGATTTCTCTGAGTGAAAATGCTGGCTATCCTGGAGACCAGGTTCGTTGGCCTCAAACTCATAGATCTGCCTGCCTCTGCCTCTTGAGGGCTGAGATTAAAGGAGTGTGTCACCACACCTATTTTACATTTTTTAAATAAAATTAAAAAGCAAAACTTTAAAAACTCAAAAAAAAAAAGTAAGCACTTTTTAAACTTGCAATGTTGTAGAATGTGCAGTGCCAGCAAACAACATTCGTCTACGGCCAGCCACCAAAGGTCACAAGGCTCTGTGGTCAATGAGCCTCCAATGAATGTGAGCCAGGACAGGCTTTCATTCAGGAGTTCTGGGAACTGTGAACTCCATGGCGTATGGATCAAAGGGCCCATTCACTTGCATTCTGCCCAGCCCCATTCCTGGCCCCTTGTCATAGCCTCAGCTACAGAGAGGCACTGTGGGGTCTGCCAGTCTGCAGAGGCATATGTCTTGACACCATGCCATGTCCCTAATACCAAAAGGGAGCTCTTGGACATGGGTGCCCTCCCCTCCTGGAAATCCCTCCAGAGGATTTCTAGTGCTGCCCAATTAGTGTCTAGCAGCAAGTCTGCTTTCAGGTCCCTAATCAGAAAAGCCTACCAGCAAGTCAAATTTTGCACTAGTCCTGAGGGACAACCTTGGGGCAACCAGGAGAATGGCAAATGTCACACAGGGTACAGAATGGCATGGCATCAACAAGGTTGAATGTGAGGAATTTGTGCTGAAGCCCAGTTTCTGGCCCTGCCAAAGAGCTTCCTAAGCTTAGGTTGAGAGAGGAAAGGTAGAGCTACGGTGAGGACTAGAGCACTGCTTCCATGATCATGAAAGCACTTTCCTCTCTGACACCTGAATCACAGCAAATGAAAAGGTACCAAGAACTTCAGTTCTGAGCATGTATAATTCTCAAAATAAAATCAGCTTTGTTTACATCATCAACAGGCTCTCATCTCCCTCCCTCTGAATACTTACAGCAGCGCCTATGCCTCTGCAATAGCACAATTCCAAAAATAATAACCTATATCAGCACCTCACTCAGCGACCAAGACTGAGGCAAATGTTTCACCCATACTCTTTATCTGAAACATGTGATTATGGGCATGTGACTTGCCTTTGGTACCTCAAACAAGAAAAATCACATAAGGACTACCACACAAGTGCTTGAACAGAATGCAGTGTCAGGTCTGACAGCTTCCGTCTTTAATCCCAGCACTTGAGAGGAAGCAGCAGGCTGATTTCTATACATTCAAAATCAGCCCGGTCTGTATAGCAAGTTCCAGGACAGTTGTCTCCAAACAAAACAAAAACAAACGAACAAAAAACCCAACAACAACAAAAACAATAAAGCAGCAAACTAAATAAAAGGCCCTTAGATATGCCCACAGACATGGCATAATTAACAACACACATCCTAAAGAACAACCTGTGTTCACACTAGATGAAACACTACCTAAAAATCACTGTGCCAATCAGTGGATGGGTGATTCCAGGTCTGAAGGAAACTACTATACCAGGTACTGTGGTCCTTGTGCTGTGGGATTCTGCATGCTAGAGGGTCCCAATGCTTTACAAATATAAAATGTGTCTATGTAAAAGTGTGGCATTGTACACACGTGGAGACAACTACAGGCATCAGGCCTTGCCTTCCATCTGGCTTTAGACAGGGTCTCTCTTGTTCACTGGCCTGCTTCAGATGGTTCTGGCTCAGTCTTCCACCTCCCAGTGCACAGAGGTTACAGCAGCTTAGGCGGATTTTTGTGCCATAAGCACTTTACTCACCTGATTGGGATTTCCCTCTGAATGCTGTGATTACCACTGATAAATAAAGGAACTGCTTTGGGCTATAGCAGAGCTATAGGGAAACAGAGCTAGGTGGGGAAAACAGAACTAAGTTCAATGCTGAGAGAGAGAAGGAGGAGTCAGGAAGAAGCCACGTAACCCCACCAGAGACAGATGCCAGAATTTTAACCAGTAAGCCTCAGCCATGTGGCAATACACAGATTAATAAAAAAGGATTAAATTAATATGTAAGAGTCATCCATCCAATAAGAAGCTAGAGCTAACGGGCCAAGCAGTGATTTAATTAATATAGTTTCTGTGTGATTATTTCGGTTCTGGGTGGCTGGGACGAAGAAGCAGAGAGCAGCCAGGAACCAACAAGCAGCCTCTCTCTAACACTCACCGAGCCACTTCCCCAACCCATAGTTTTTTAGAAGAAGGACTAATTGACGGCAGTAAAAATTTACACCCAAACACCGCGACTACTGAGACCCTAAGAGCTCCATAGCACCAGGTAGTGGACACAATTGGTTAAGAGACAGACCTTATTAAACTGATTCCACGAGGGTCCAAGAGGTGTTTTGTTTTTAATTTTAAAAATACTTTTTGTTTAACACAATATCTCACACAGCCCAGGCTGGCCTCAAGCTCTACAGGTGAGGGTAACTTTGAACATCTAATTATCCTGTCAGCACTTCCCAAGTCCCAGGATTACAGGCATGCAAGTCATGCCTGGCTTCAAGAGGTTTATTAGAAAGACCAAAGCATGATACAAAATGATCAATGACAGTAACCATATCCTATCAGCCAACCATCACTTGGCATTATGGAACTGTCCAGCAGGAAAGCCCTGGGTTTTCCATCCCTAATGGCTTCCTGAAGAACCTCCAATCCAGAACCTAACATGAAGTCATTCCACAGACTGGCTTAGAAAGCTCTGCTATTCTTACCCATGTCAGGTTAGATAGTGGGCAACAACTCTAAGAACAAGGTGAATTTCCAAACTGATTTAAGAGGGAAACAAATGCACAGGCTGTGCTTGAGGTTCCAGAGAAGCTCCTGGAAGAAGTGGTGAAAGAAGAGGTCCAAGGCAGGAACTCAACTGCAGAAATTTCTCGTTACTTCTTCCTGCCACCTCTCTCCTTGAGGGCTAAGTGGATGACAGCACCACTGGCCATGTTGTAGTAAGCCAGGGAGTTGGAATCCTTGATGAAAATGCCCTGGAAAACAGACAAACGTCTTAGTTGTGGCACCTGTCTTTGACCACATCACACAGCTGAGCATAGCTGTTAATACTTAGACTTCAGCAATATGGAGACTTAAGGGAAGGCCAGTTCTGGATTACAGAACTTCGGTTTCTTCTAGAACACTTTTTCCTTCCTTCCTTTTCTTCCTTTCCTTTCCCTTCCTTCCTTCCAGCTGATATTGACAAACATAAGGGACCTTTATCAACATCTGGTTCAATTTTCAACTCCCCAAGATGTCAGCCATGACCAAGTCCAACGAACAGCCAACTTCTCAGGTCATAAGACCTTTAGTGATTACCTAATTCAACACCCTCGTTTTACAGAGGAGGAGATGAAGTCCCAGAAGACATGGAATACCCCCTCTGCAGAGAGAACCAGGCTAAGATCACATCACTGGCCTGGTCCCCATCCAGTTCTAACAGGTTTTTAGACCCCGCATTAGGCTGTGCTGTCAGGTCCAGCACTGTCAGGTTCACCTGCCCCAGCAGTCCAGCTGTATCATTTCTGGGATGGGCTCAGATGGCCACATCCAGGTCTCTCCCCATCTACTTTGTAACAGGAGATTGTTTCTAGGATGAGAGAGATGCTGGAACCTAAGGGGCAAGACAGGGGTTACCCTGGCTTACTTCATATTGTAGTTTTTGTTTCCCTGCAGGCATGCCTGTGGCTTCATGAATCTTCACTTTGATGACAGAAACCTGTGGGACCAAAGAAAAGCCACACTCATTCTGTTGCTAAAACCAGCTGGAAACATCTGACCTAATCCATTGGCTCTCAAGCACGTATAACAATTAGGGGTGGCAATACATACCTGGTCTGTGAGTGGGAGAGTGAAGACCAGTCCCTGTCCATTCAGCTTCCATTCTGTCTTATCCTGCATGTTGGGTACCTGCACTTTGATGGACACTGGACCCTGAAAAACACAGTGCTCATTATGCCTGGAGAGCTCCAAGGCAACCAGGAACTATGCTCTGCTAACAGTGGGCCCATCCAAACAGTGATTCCTGTCCCTCTGGCCCCATTTACTACTGCTGCTACTTGAGACACATTACACAAGGCTTCATTTCTTTATTTACTACTGCTGCTACTTGCAACACGTTACACAAGGCTTCATTTCCTTATTTTTGGTTTTTAGACAGGGTTTCATATCTAGCCCAGGCTGGCCTCAATCCTCCTGTTCTGAGATTTTAAGGGTATACTACCATGCTCAGTTTCCTTTCCCTTCCTTAAATAGACCCATCTTGTTTTCTAGTTAATTTGGAATTAAGGTGAAAATATTCTGCAACCCCAAGGACCAGTAGGATAAAGAATGTGGTCTGAAGTACTGGGCTCACAACTCAGCTCCAGAGTGGACAAGATGCCTGAGCTCAATGCAGCTCAGAATGCTAAAGAGAGGACAGTCTGAACCTTTAGTAGGTGCTCAAAAAATAGACCTTAGTCTTGGAAAAACAATTATATCAAATTTACAGGGCAAATCTAGTGGGAGCTGGGACTCTGTTTCCTCACTGACGCCTAACAACTTTCCTAGTGACTGGCAGGCCAAGGTAGGATCCTTGGTCCAGAATGTCAAGCAGAATCCTACAATAATAGGCAGCTTTCCCAGGGCTGGGGTTAGAACTAATTTTTTTTTAAAATGATTTATTTTTATTTTATGTGCATTGGTATTTTGCCTGCATGTATGTCTGTATGTGAGTGTCAGATCTTGGGAATTACAGACAGTTATAAGCTGCTATTGGTGTTGGGAATTGAACCCAGGTCCTCTAGAGGAAGAGCAGTCAGTGCTCTCAACCACTGAGTCATCTCTCCAGCCCCATGGGTAGAACTGAATTTAAGAGCCATGCCTAGGACTTCCTCCAGCTAGTTTAGTGCTCCTTCACTGAACTTCACTTAGGTGATATTGTCTTGGCATCTCCACACTGGCCTCTACAAGACTCCATACTATCAGAACCACCACCACCACCACTACAACTTTCTGTTCCCCCAGCTGTTGACCTCACGTTAAACACATACACAGAAGCTTCCTCTGGCTGACCTACATCCCAGAAGCTAACAGAAAGGGAGTGGAAAATAGCTGAAGCCTGGGCAACCCACAATGCTGCCACATACTCCAGGGAAGAGGCAGCATTCTAGATCACAGACCTTGTTCCTGCGCAGGAACTCTTCCTCAGGCATGAGGCTGTCCTCAGTCTTTAGTTTCTTGGATGGAGGCTCATCTTCCATAGGAGGTGGGGGGTGTACAGGAGGCATTGGAGCTGGGGCTGGGACTGGAGCCACAGGTGGGGCAGGCACAAAGGCTGCAAAGACATGGTACAGTGCCCAATGAACGTAGAAGGGGTGCAGAGGCCCAGGAGGCAGGACTGGGGAGATTTTTAAAGGCTTTACTCTTTAGAGGTATGAAATGCTCTGTCTTGGTAAGTCTGGCACTCAGCAGGTTCTCTGGCAGGCAGCCTTGGGAGGCTGCCCAAATTAGGCAGCAAAGGACTAGAGGCAGGGCAAGATCAGCCAGAAATAGTCAACTGTCAGGCTTCTGAGCCTGTCAAGGACCCGACCACCAGATGCAGACACACTAGCCATGCCATCTCAATATCTTGTCTCCCTCAATAACTATGGCCCCTAGATCCCAGTTTGGATTTCCTCTGGATGGATACCCAGCAGGAATAGTTAGCTGCCATTAACACCAGTCATGGTTCTGTGAACTGATCTAACAGATAGGAAAGCAACACTCAGACTGACCTGTTGGCACAATCATGGGAGGTGGGCGGGGTGCCATGATGGGAGGTGCAGCAGGAGGCATAGGTACCACATTGATCCTGGGTGCATGGATGATGGGTGGCATGGGGGCGATCACTGAGCCTGGAGGCAGCCGGACCACAGATGCCATGGGTGGCCGAGGCATGACAGGTACTGCAGATACAACAGTGGTACGAACTGGAGGCGGCATCTGAGGGTGGGAGGAGACCCATACATCAGTCACAGAAAACCAAGGCTCAGGTTCAAGAGCACAACAACTGGCCACACAAGATGGGGGTTAGACAACGTGGACTCTGCTTATCACTGAGACTGAAGTCTCACATCAGGCCCATGTTAACAACTCACTGCTGAGAGTTCCAGGATATTCTGTCCACCTGGGGCTTGGTGGTTCGGATTCAACCAGCTCCTCAGGGCAGACTGTACCACTAAAGAGGTTGACCTTGACTTAATCTCCTGGATACAGGCCACCAGTTCTCAAAGACCCATGAAGCCCACAGCCCTTCTTTGCCTCAAATCTGCCTCGCCACTCAGCTCACTCCCTATTGCAATGTTCCTTTGCAGTGGAAGACAAAGCTACAAGTTTCTACTTTCAAGTGAACAAATTAGCATTCAGGCCATACTCTAAAACAGTTGCCCTTCCCAGACATCATCCCACCCTAAGGACCAAAGTTTAAAACACTTGATCACAGGGTGGCTTCTGACTCACTGCAGGTGGCCGGGGCACTGATGTGATCGGGGGTGCTGAGCTGGGGATGTTGGTGGCTGAAGATGGAGGTGGTGGTTGCTGGGGAATTTCATTGGGCTTGCTGGGGCCAATTTTCTCCTTAGTGTCGTCTTCTGGCACCAGGCCCTTAGCCTTATGGATGGCCTCAATCTGCTCCTGGAGGGTGATGTTGGCCTGGGCAGCCTGCTGGGTCCGGGCCATGCTACCTGAATGGCCATCCCAAGTCACCTGCATGGGAAAGCAAAGATACAGTTTGCCAGGACTCTTGGAACTGAGCCCACATGTGGGAGACTCTTTGGAATTGTACCTTTTCCTCTGGCTTCTGGATCTCCTCTTCACCAATCTTCTTACCAATAGCTGTTTCTTCTACCCCAAAGATGTCAGTACGGCGCTCAGCCAACTGCTTTAAGCTGCTCTCAATATCCAGACCTGTACACAATAGAATGGAGAGAAAGGGAAGCTAAAGCTGGCGCCCTTTGGCAAGTCAGCAGTTTTCTGGGAATGTAGTGTGGAGGTTGGATCCACAGTACTGGCTGGCTTTCAGCTCCAATAAGACACTCTCATCCGTTTGGATGAGAGTCTTGGGAGGGTTGCCAAAGAAGGAGTAATCCTAAAGACCTGGTGCTTGTCCAGTCCTTACTAACAGGATTAAAGACCCAGTCCCTAACCCTCGGCAGCCCCCTTCCTATCCTGTTGTCTTTTTAAAGGTTCTATGTAGTGCTGGCTGTCCTAGAATTCTCCAACGTGTAGACCACGTTGACCTCAAACTCACAAAGATCCACCTGCCTCTGTCTACAGAATGCTGAATTTAAAGATATGCACCTCCACATGAAGCCCTATCCTGCTGCTTTGGCAATAAGACTTGTGAGTGTCACTCAAGAAGAGAATTTCAATTACAAGTCTGTCCAAGATAGCAAAAGACTAAGTATCCCTCCCAGCTATTGCCAGTATTTTGTTACAGAGTATCAGCAGGCAGTACCAGCCTTTGGAGAATTCAGTATATGCTGGAAAATAAAGATTTCTTTTGCATTAACATTGGTTGCACCTATCTCCCAAACTCTCACTGACCTCAAGCTTTCTGTGTCTACATAAGCAAGCTATGGGATGGGACCCTCCACCTCACCTGGTGCATAAACCTCATCATCACTCTGTTTCTCTCGGATGGAGCGATCTCGCTGCTCCAGCCAACGAGGGTCAAGAAGCCCAATACGCATGTGTTCTTGCATTTTGCTGGCAGGAATCTTCTCCCCAGTGATGGGGGATACAAGATACTCATCAGGAGCAGGAGCTGGAGGAAGAGGCTTGGAAGCTAAGAGAAAACAGAGGTGTCTAAGTGAGAATTCTAAACGGTAGTTCAAGTTAAGATTGTGGTGTATTCAAACGTCATTCACTGAAAACATTCATCCAGTACCACCTTCACATCAGAAACCCGAAACTGGAGAGGACTACTTGTGTTTCCCACCACGAGGCTTGTAACATGGGGTCACCACAAGTCCTTCTAGAACCAGCCCATCTGGCTAAATTACAGCTATGCCTATGTTGAAATAATTTGTTAAGTCTCTATACATTAATATGGTGAATAAATCATATAATATTCTGTGAATAAGGAACATGCCAGAATGTAACAAATTGTTTTTAACTTCGGGGGGAAAAAAAAAAAGAAATAGCCCATCTGAAGAACACACAAGACCATACAGGACTTTCTTTAGCAGCACAAGGTCTGGGAGGCAGGCCCTACCTTTGGGATCATAGTCCTTTCGCACAATGACTTGGTCTGGAGTTGGGGGCAGAGGTGGAGGCATGGGTGTCTCTGGGGGTGGAGGCACTTTCTGTCCTTCTTCTTCATCATCTGAACCCTGAAAAGCAAGGCAGTGGCACAACCTAGGAGATGAAAGGCCGCTTTCCCAAAGCTCAAGACTATGGCAACTCTCAGGGTGCCAATGAGCCTTGGCCCCTGCCAGCCAGCATCTATTTGCTAAGCCTTCTGGGGTAGCTGAGGTCAACTGGCAGCAAGCCAAGCTGTTTCCTCACAACATGAATGGAAGCATCAGGGACTATGGTGCTAACACTCCTCCCAAGCACTTCCAGTGGTTGGCACCAGGCGATCCCAAGAGGCCAAAGGCACTTAACACACAGAAGAGGAATACAGGGGCCAAGTTAGTACTCAATGGTAGCTGCTTCCAGAGCAATGCTGGGAGGGAGAAAAAAAGTCAATTCCCACAGACACTGGGGCCCTTTCTTCTCAAGCAGTACACAGATTCTTTCAGAGTGGGGAAAGCAGCTTGGCTCAGGACTCTGTGCCTACTTGGGAGGGCCATGCTGAAAGAGGGTAGAAATCTCTGAAAGGACATGTAGGCTACATTTAGACAAGTTAGGGAACTAGTGATCTTTTAGACCTAAGTGCTAAAAAGGCATAAAAGCATAGGGTAATATGGTTCCCTAACAGTGTTGGTGAAGGGCGTAGGTTGGGAGCAGGAATGCTGAGCCAAAGGGAAAGCAACAGATTATACAAGGCCGGCACAGCTTTCAAATCTTTCCTATGAACTGATCTTTGTTGCTGGAGCTGGAAAGATGTGTTGGGCTGCCTGGGTTTAAACAGCAGCAGTCAGTCTGGCCTTCTCCGGAGCTCACCATCTTTTGGTTGTGAGCCTAGCCTTTAACGGCTGAGCCATCTCTCCAGCCCAGGAGCTCACCATCTTTTGAGCCTCAAAGAATGGAACCTTGGACTAGGAGAGCATCACCTAACCTCTTGGACTCCAGGAGAAAGGTAGGCTAAAACCACCGGGGAATTTACCTCATCCATGTCCTGTACTTGAGTATCCTGGTCCAGCTGGGAAGGAGGCTCTTCAGCCTTTTCCTGCTTCTCATCCTCCTCATCAGACTCAACTTCCATCTCCACCTCCTCACTTTCCCCAAACTTCTCATAGCGCTCTTGAATGAGGATTCGGGCTCCCAGTTCCTCTGGTGTTGTTGGGGGAGGGAAGTTTCCTAAAAGGGGTAAGCCAGGGTCAATGGCATTCTGAGCTGGGCATGGTGGCAAACACCTTTGATCCCAACACTTGGCTGAGGCAAGCAGACTTTCTGTGAGTTTATAGTCAGCCTGATTTACAAAGTGAGTTCTAGAACAACCAGGACTACATTGAGACTCTGTGTGATGACTATTCTTGGTTGTCAACTTGACTATATCTAGAATTAACTAAAATCCTATGAAGGATTTTTCTGATTGACCATTTTAGGTGGGAAGACACAACCTAAATCTGGGCTGCACCTGGTGATAACCTGTATAAAAGGACATTAAAGAAAGAAGATTTTGCTTTTTGCCTGCTTGTCCTCATTCTTGATAGAAGGTTTGCCTATCCGGCTGCTGAGGCATTCTTTCCCTAGTCAGAATTCCAGTTAGACTGAAGACCAGCTGAGACATCCAGCATCCTGGACTTTCTATTGGAGACAGCCATTGTTGGACTAGCTAGACCACAGGCTGTAAATCACTCTAATAAATCCAGACAGACGGAGACAGAGAGAGCATGATTCATTATATCAGTTCCTCTGGAAAACTGATTAATATGTCATCTCCTAAAACAAACAAACAAACAAAAAAACAAGAAAAGGCATTCCTTGTCCTGTGAATGCCCCAAAGGCTGGGAAACTGTCTGATTTTATTATCTGCAGAGTCTAACATAGTAACCAGCTGTTGAATTGCATTTAACTTGGGCAAATGAACAATGTTTCCCTTTCTGGAACACAGGGAAGCAACACACTAATAAAGTCTGTGCCTGGCTCTGTTGCTCCCAGGAGCACCAGACTTCCTGGCTTCCACACGAAGGTACTCTCCTCCTAGACCTACCTTGCTCATTGGGTTGGAAATCCACTGTCTCCACCACTACAAAATCATGCCAATCAATCTGAGCATAGGCCACTCGTTCCTTCTCTTTCTCTTCTTCTTCCTTCTTCCTCTCACGTTCCTGGAATTTGGCCCATTCCACTCGGTAACACACCTACAGGATTAGAAAATAGCAAGATGCCTCTTATGAGGCTTCAGGGCTTCACCTTCAGACCAAGAGGCAACTATATTCACAAGGAGAAAACTTCTAGTGTCCCACCAGAGCTGGCAAAGGCCTCTGCACTCACAGCAGCAAACTCTTGCAGCAAAAGTGCATGAAAACCTGGTTAAGTGGTACTTTAAGCCTTGTCAAGAGCTAGTGGCTGCAAGTGTCATACGCCCTAGGGGGATCCTGTTACCTTTTTTTATTCTTTTGCAAGATGGTCATGTTGTTAATTGTTCATGATTAGGTCTCAGCAGAGAAACCTCTTATTAAACTTTGTGGTATTTAATGCAGGCACTGGTCAAAAGCCAAGGGTAAGTGAAAGTAGTATACAGCCCTAAAGAGGACATTCATATTACTCCTTCCAAGGCTCAGTGGACATTTATAGAAGAGGAAGTAGAAAGAACGTAAGAGTCAGAAGATGGGGAAATGTACAGCAAAAAGACATCTTCTGGACATAACAAAGCCACTGGACTCATGAACTCACGGTAGCTGTGGTTACCTGCAAAATACTGGACCCATCAGCGGTCCAGTACAAATGGAGGAAGGCATTCTTCCCTGAGGAACTACTGGCAATTAAGGGTGCCTTAAGTAAGGCTATCATTTTCTGCAGTGTTGCAGTTGCTGGTGAACTGGCCATGTTCCAGTAAATAATCTCTTATCCCATGTCCATGTAAGCAACTCCAATAAACGCATCAGGGTCACACAAAAAGATGACAAGAAAGGAGGGGACCTTATTGAAAAAGGGTTTCAGTGAAAGAGGCAGGTTGGATGAAGACATCTAAAAATTATAGAAGTGTATATGAAACTATCAAAGATTTGGGGGGAGGGGGAGCTTTGTTTTTTTGAGACTCTGTAGCCCCTGAGTGGCCTTGAAGTTGTTCTGGGATTAGAGGTGCGACACTATATCTGTCAAAACATTTTTAAAAATTAAAAAGAAAAGAAACCCTGTTATCTTCAAAAGCAGCAACAATCTAAGTGTCTGAGAAGCAGTCACCTCACAGTTAAAACCAAACAGCACCACCCAATATGCCTGCTCAACTGTGAGAGCCTGGTGACTTCAGAAGGCACCTACCATCTCTCACCCGGCGATCCGCTCGGGAGGAAGTTTCTGCCTAAAGTAGGGAAGAGAAACTTGCTAAACTTCTAACTGGACTTCGTAGTCATCACAAGGCTTTTCTTCTCAGCACTCTATAACTAGGTTCAAGCTGACTATCCCTTACCTGGGATGCTTTGGGAACTGAAGTGTGTCTAATTTTGGAATATTTATATTCACATGTTGAATGAGATGTACCAGGGATAGAACCCATGCCTAACCTGAAGGTCATTACATTCCATACGCACCTCATACACATGGCCTGAAGGTTAGAGAAGGTCAACCTGTACTGCCTCAAAGACAGGTTAGGTTTCTAAACAAAAACAAAACCCACATAAAGAACCTGATACGTTGGTACCTGGTACTGGGAAATCCTGTGTTTACCTGGTCCAAAACTTCTCGGGGATTTTCAGCCTCTTTCTTGAGCTTTGTAAATAAGCCTTTGGGTGGAATCAAGATCTGAAAGAGAATTACAGCAACTGTCAGTAAATCACAATATAAACAAAGAAGCAGCCTTCCCAGGCCCATCACAGAACATAAGAGATGGATTCTTAGCCTCAATCCCAACTCTACATGTCAAGAGTGTGCAAATTATTTAACAGCTAGAACTTATATTTCCTTCTCCAAATGTTGACACCACTACTTTAGAGAAGGCCATTTCCATGATTCCCAGTAAAGCATGTAAGCCACTGGCAGGTTATCCAGAACATGCTACATTATGGCTGCTGACATGACACTGATGCGCTCCGATCATTTTGAAAATATCAGCCGGGCGGTGGTGGCGCATGCCTTTAATCCCAGCACTCGGGAGGCAGAGGCAGAGGCAGGGGGATCTCTGGGAGTTCGAGGCCAGCCTGGTCTACAAGAGCTAGTTCCGGGACGGGCACCAATGCTACAGAGAAACCCTGTCTCGAAAAACCAAAAAAAAAAAAAAATCATTCAGTCCTCTCTACTGTCCTGTTCAAGACTGCAACCACCTCCTCCCTACTTCCCAGAACTTCCAACCCCTGCCTTCTGATCTAGAATATCTATCTCCATCTGAAACACATAGGACACTTCACTTGTATTCTCCTCCCAACTAAAAAACTCCATGAAGACAGATTTCTGTCTTCTCACTACTCATTACCCAATGTCTAACGTGCATTTACCAAGGACACCGACTGCCTTTATTCTAACAACCATTCCAATTGTCCCAGCAGTATCTACTTCCACTCATAAAGCGGCACAATTTTACCTTGCTCCCCTTATACCTTTATCCCTAGAATCTACCTGCTATAACAGCTTTCCATGAGTAGACACTAGTGCCTTCAATTATGAGTCAATAACAATAATCCAAATTTAGAGAAGGAGAGAAAAAAATAACAAAATAGAGACTAAGGATTTCTAACTATGGAAGCAGCTCAAACTGAACCCAGGCCTTTACTTAGAACTGATATTATGGGGCTAAAGAGATGGCATGCAGCTAAGAGCAGTGTCTGTTCTTTAGAGGACTTGGTTCAATTCCCAGCACCCATATGGTAGCTCACAACCATCTATAACTCTGGTTCCAGGAAATCTGATGGCACCAGGCACATGAGTGGTGCAGAGATGCAAAGTAAAAATAAATAAAATATAAAAATCCACAAAAACCTGATACTGTGTACTTACAGTAACCTTTGGCTTTGAATTTCAGTTATTGTTCTACTAACTTCTAGATTCTAAAGATAACCCTCCTCCCCCAAGACAGGGTTTCTCTATTTAACAGCTAGCTGTCCTGGAACTAACTCTTGTAGACCAGGCTGGCCCTGAACTCACAAAGATCCACCTGCCTCTGCCTCCTGAGTACTGGGATTAAAGGCATGAACCACCACCACCTGGCTACATTTTTATATCTTTAATTTTATATAGAGCTAGTCCTTAAGAATTCTTTTAATTTAGATCTTTAACACCATTTCTAAATATTAAGAACAGATTTATAGACCATCTTACTAAAAAGGAAAACAAGAAAAATGTGCCATTGGTAATCATATACCAGTGAGTGCCCTTTGTAACCCATTATAATTTATTTCTAGGGGTGGAGAGATAGCTCAGCGATTAAGGGCACTGGCTGTTCTTCCAGAGGTCCTGAATTCAATTCCCAGAAACCACATGGTGGCTCACAACCATCCATAATGAGATCTGGTGCCCTCTTCTGCCCTTCAGGTATACATGCAGACAGAACACTGTATATATAATAAATAAATAAATCTTAAAAAAAAAAGAAAAAATTGATTTCTAAAGCAGAAAGTCTCTTAAAGAGCTCAGGCTGGCCTAGAACTCCTGATAATCCTCATGCCCCAGTCTTCCTAGAGCTAGCATTAGAAGTGTTAGTTACTATACCCAGCTAACTGATTAATTAATTTTAAATACCAGATTTCCATGTCAGATTCTGTTCTAAACACAATTTCAAAGTGGGACAGTAGGGGCTGGAGAGATGGCTCAGCGGTTAAGAGCATTGCCTGCTCTTCCAAAGGTCCTGAGTTCAATTCCCAGCAACCACATGGTGGCTCACAACCATCTGTAATGAGGTCTGGTGCCCTCTTCTGGCCTGCAGGCATACACACAGAGAGAATATTGTATACATAATAAATAATAAATATTTTTTTAAAAAAAGTGGGAGCCGGGCGGTGGTGGCGCACGCCTTTAATCCCAGCACTTGGGAGGCAGAGGCAGGTGGATCTCTGTGAGTTCGAGACCAGCCTGGTCTACAAGAGCTAGTTCCAGGACAGGCTCCAAAACCACAGAGAAACCCTGTCTCGAAAAACCCAAAAAAAAAAAAAAAAAAAAAGTGGGACAGTGATAGTGCATGCCTTTAATGTCAGCACACGGGAGGAGGAAGAGGCAGGCAGATCTCTGTGAGTTCAAGACTAGTCTGGTCTACAAAGAAAGTTCCAGGACAGCAAGGATTGTTACAGAGAAACTCTGTCTCAGAAAACAAAAAACAAAACAAAACAAAACACAAACAAAACGGTTTTAGTTTGTAACCCAGGCTACACATCACCAGGGCCAAATGGGAATATGTTGTACATGTTTTCAATGTTAGTAAACTCATACTGAACTTTCCTGGTATAAATTACTTCACTGGGTAAAAATAACAAAGGTTTGAATCTCAACAACACTGCTTACTAGCCTGAGACTGTAGACATTCTGATGACTTTGCATTTCATTCCTTTTTTGGTCTTTATCTAGCACTTAATCCAGAGCAAAACTAATTAATTAATAGAATCCATGCTAGAACAGTACTCAACAACCGAGGTGTAACTGTAGCCCCATAAAATCATCTTTCTTAATCCATTTCTGCTTGTGAAAACTGGGGAAACATCACTAAAGTTTTTGAGGATTAAATTAATAGGAAGCAACTATATAAAGAAAAAGCCTGCTTCTCAGGCCATACAGTAGACAAGTGAAAATGTAATACACCTAAAAGCAGCTAGTGCTACCTAGTCCTGTCACACAGCAGATGGCCACCTAATAATGCTTCATAAACACGTCTCCTTAATAACAAGATTTAAAGAGATAACGACTGAAGCTGCTGTCAGGGGAGGGAGGTGTGCCTTTAATCCCAGGGATCTCTGAGCTTGCGGCCAGATTGATCTACATAGTGAGTTCAAGGTTAACTAAGTTAGAATCACACAGTGAGATCCTGTCTTTAAAAGAACAAACAAAAAGCACAATAAAGATTTAGAGTCTCTGAGATGGTTCAGCAGGTAAAAGCACAAGCTATGCAAACCCGATGTACTGAGTTTGATCCTCAGTGGAAGGGGGAGCTGAACGCTGTTCTCTGACCCAAAGTGTGCTCCATGGAAAGACAAAAAGCACCTACAGTCTTTTTTTTTTTTTTTTTTTTTGGTTTTTCGAGACAGGGTTTCTCTGTAGCTTTGGAGCCTGTCCTGGCACTTGCTCTGTAAACGAGGCTGGCCTTGAACTCACAGAGATCCCCCTGCCCCTGCCTCCCAAGTGCTGGGATTAAAGGCGTGCACCACCACCGCCCAGCAGCACCTACAGTCTTAAACACACACACACTTTACACTAAGCTGGGATTCACTTTTGCCCAGATACCCACAAAGCAATGTCCTTGTTGACAGAAGGTGAATGCTATACTCCCAGTGTGAGACACTACCCTCTGCCCCAACCCAGCACCTTTGTATACTGCTCCACCAGCTTTGTGAAGTAGTTGAAGAGGCTGTGCTGCGGACGGAGAAAGTCAAACTGATAGTTGCGCTGCTCTTTCTGCATCAGCTGAGTCAGAAACTGGCGCCCATTCCTGGCCACAAACTGAGCTGTCAGCTTCACTACATCCAGGTCGAAGGCTGAGATGGAGGGGGGATCAGCGATGAATTCAAACTCAGGAGGGGGTTCCTTCGGTACTATGGTCTCTTGGATCACCTGGGCTTGGACCTAAGACAGCGTTGAATAAGAACAGAACAGAAGTAAACTAACTGTGCAGAATGGCCAAAGACTCCAATGTTTTATTAACTGAGCATCACTGGGACTTGCTATGAGAAGACTGGCACCCAAGGGCATTGGAGTCTCACCCAACTACTGCTTCAAGTATCTACATCTCTGCTCCCATCCTGAAATTAAAGGCCTAAAGAGGTGGCAAAAATACAAAGGAAACAGGCTGTAAAATCTAACTTAAGAGGCTATACAGTAAGACCCATGTGTTCTGTAGTAAATCCCATTGCATAAAGTACATCAATGACCTCCAAGAGAACCACGAGGCAGACAGAATAGATACTATGGCTGTTTTTTACAATGAGAAATTTAGGCCCTACAAGCAGCAATCAAAATGCAAGGTCTTCAAACATGACTTCAATTTTTCTCATGGCTAAACAAAAGGCTGCTTTTCCCACAAAAGTCTGGGAGCTGTGTAAAATGAAGAGACCAGGCCAGTTCTACACAGTAAACAAACTGCATTGGCACTTTCTATCTTTACTGACTAGTGCTGGCTTCAACACTCCTGGGCCCCAGCACAAACTGGGTACTGGAACCGCCCAAACAAAAGGGAAGGAATGGTACAAGGCTAAATCACCTCCTTTAGCTCATCCAGGCCAAAACGTTATTCTCACACTACAACTAACTCACACCTTGAATTGATAGATCATATTTGGACAAGCCTCAGCTTCATCATCTGTTAAATAGTTGTTCCACTGGGCTCTTCATGATCTGGGCCCAGAGCACAGAGCTTGACCAACAAGTGCTCAAAAAGTACTATGTACTATCAGTGATTCTGAAAGACAAGGGTAACTTTATTCTGTCCCTGGTGATTGTGGACAGCAGAGCTAATTATGCCCACCAATCTTGCTTCCTCCCTAACCCACAAAGAGGGGCTGCGCTACAAACCTTCTGGGGCAGCTGTTGTTGGGTGGCTTGCTGCTGCTGCTGCATAACCTTGGGGATGGCAGCTGAGGGTTCCTGAGCCTTCCCCTCCTTAAACTCGCTGACCTTGTGGCGGTAGTAGGCATGGTAAGGGTCATTGGGATTTAAGAAGTTGAACTTGGGGTTGTTGATCTCATTTTGTCGGATCCTGGCTTCAAATTCAGGCCCATTTCTGTGGGGAAAAGTTAACACATCAAATGATGAATACCACAAACTTTGTGATGACTCAGATCCAAACCTCCATCTGTATCAATATCTGTGCCACCACCCACTCACAAAACCAGTCTATCCCTGGTATACTGGAGCTCCTCGTTTAGTAACTAGGAATCAGCAGTCAGTCTATCTGCCAATGAAGGCCTGGCCACTCCCACCAGTCATCCCTTAAGCTCCTCTGCCACAACCAGCTGAACAATTGTTTTTTTTTCTTAGAATAAAACATTTTTGACTAAGGATGTGACAGAAATGTAGAATGTTTGTCTAATACATACAAGGCCCTGGATTTGGTTCCCAGCTCCACAAAAAAAAAACCCAAAAAACTCAAACAGCTAATAAATGTTAATAGCTTGTCCAAACACTGCTTAAAGTAACTTCATTTATTATTGGGAGGCCCACAAAGGAAATGTTTCTCTGTAAGGTTCATGAGGCTCTGCAAGATTTATTTACTTTGTATATATACAGGATAAGGCCATGGTGCGATGCTTGCTGACAAGATGAACAAGCTGAGTTTGATCTCCTGGTTCCACATGGTGAAAGGAAAAGAACTAACTCTCACAACTTGTGCTCCGATCCGTGTGTGTGCTTGTGCACATGCACACATACAGATTCACACCCACACAAAAGAAATGCAGTCAATCCGCTAGAACGATGACAAAATGGGGAATCCAAATTTTTAAGAGTCCCAGTAGGTATAACTCAAGTGGTCATAACTTTTTGGTTTGGATTTTTTGAGATACAGTCTCACATAGACCAGGCTAAGAACTGGCCTTGAACCCTTGATCTGACTGCCTTTACCTTCCAGGAGCCACTAAGTGTGCCACCAAACCTAGTTCCAGGTGTCATACTTACATATAACATCTGTGTCAGCTTAAAGGCACACAGCCTTAAAAAGACACAGGATATAGACACCTTCAAGTTTCTGCTCACTACTTAGTCTCACAAAGGTCAAGGCTCCAAAGTATTCCTTGCTTTGATTTTCACTAATATCATTTTCTCTATGTACCTCCAGGCATTATTGAGATTTGTGTAAGTAGTGATTAAGGAAATGCTCCAGACTTTTTGAATACAGTGGTTTGCAAACAAAGGGGATAGTTACTACTATGTAGCCTAGAAGGGGCAGTTCCACCAACACTGAAGATGACTGGCCTCTTAGGAGGGGCTTCCACTGATTGTCACCAGAACCCTACGTTCAGGGACACAATGAAGACACCAAGCCAGACTCCCAATTCCCACTGCTGCAGGGATTAGTGCCAGACAGGTCACTTTCTTCAGACTGTCACACCACCCCTGGTCCTGTCAGTTAAACAGAGCAGAAGACAGGACACAGGTGACTTTATGGTTAAAATCAGCCACTAAAGGGGCTGGAGAGATGGCTCAAAGGTTAAGAGCACTGGCTGCTCTTCCAGAAGTCCTGAGTTCAATTCCCAGCAACCATTTATAATAAGATGTGGTGCCCTCTTCTGTCATGCAGGAATACATGCAGATAAAACACTGTATACATAATAAACAAATCTTTAAAACAAAACAAACAAAAAACAAAAGATTAGACACCAAAACAATCTGTGACATCCATGGCAGACTGTGGAAAGCCTAGACTCTAGCAAGTTCTGGTCACACCCTGCAGCCTGACTAATATCATGAAGTCTCAATTGTGCTTTAGTCCAACTAGAACCTCATGCTTTGGAAAGAAGCATTTTCCTACCTCCCTATGTAATGTAAACCACACACAGATTTGATTTGGATCCCACTAAATCAGGTCACCATGTCTGGAAAATGCCCAGAGAGACTAATGGCTTCTAGAAAAGGGGGTCTGGGTTGTCTCTTGCAGTGCTGCCTAAGCCATAGTCTCTACACATCAGGAAACAGTTAGAAAGATATAATGAGAAAGCAGATGTATTTATTCCAGGAAATTCCAGTGCTCTAAGTTGGCTTACTGATAATTTTAGAATTAGATCTTCCAACATAAGGAATGGATTTCAGCAGAAAAGCCTGACTCTGACTCAGCCCAGCTGGCGGGACTTTTTAAAGGTATTTCCAATTTAGCTTTTTGACAGAAAAATGCAGGTCTGGGAAAACCTACCTACAGAGAAAAGATTCCTTTCAGCCAGATTTGGTTGCAGATACCCACTGCCTGCTCCTGAGTACCAGGTTTAGCAGAGCAGACCTAAATATACCTCTCCCAGAGCAAGATCCTGACCTGTCCCTTCATTTCAAAGCGTGATGTTATTTACAATTTCTGAGAGAGAGAGAGAGAGAGAGAGAGAGAGAATGAGAATGAATATGAATGCATATGCTCATTAGCGCTCACAGGGAGACCAGAGGTTGACACTGAGTAACCTTTTCTATCATTTTCTGCTGTGGGATGGTCTTTCTGTATGCTGTATGTGTGGTTCTCATTGGTTGGTAAATAAAGCTGCTTTGGCCTATGGCAAGGTAGGACATAGCAAGGAGGGAAATCCAAGCAGAGATACAGAAGAAGAGATACAGCCAGCCACTGAGGAAACAAGACACGTAAAAAATAAGGTAACAAGTCATGAACCCTGTGGCAAAGCATAGGTAAGAAATATGGGTTAATTTAAATATAAGAGATAGCTAGTAATAAGCCTGAGCCTTGGCCAAGCATTTATAAGTAAAATTAAGCCTCTGAGTGCTTATTTAGGAACTGGCAGGCAGGAGAGAAACCTCCAATTACAATTTTCCATCTTACTTTTTTGTGACAGGGTCTTGTACTGAGCCTGGAGCTCACCATTATGGTTAAGCAGGCTGGCCAGTTAGTGGGCCCCAAGAATTTCCCTATCTTTACCCACCAGGGGTGGGGTTACAATCACCCACACACACATACCACTTTTTATGTGGTGCTAGAGACTCAAACTCAAATCCTATACTTTACAGCAAGCCTTCTACCCATTGAGCCATCCCAAGTTCACATTTATAATGTCTATAAAAATGACTCCCATGGTTAAAAACCCATCTTATAAACACGGTGGTGTTTTTACACTAGAGATAGAATTCATATCTTTGTACATAAAAATAAACACTCACTCCATCACTAAGCTACACAATCAACCTTTTTCTTTCTTTTTTTTCTTTCTTTGTCTGTCTATCTATCTATCTATCTATCTATCTATCTATCTATTTTGGGGTTTGAGACAGGGTTTCACTGTAGCTTTGGAGCCTGTCCTGGAACTACCTCTGTAGACCAGGCTGGCCTCAAACTCACAGAGATCTGCCTGCCTCTGCCTCCCGAGTGCTGGGATTAAAGGCATAAGCCACCACCACCTGGCTAACCTTTTTATTTTTTATTTATTTTTTTTTAAAGACAAGATCTTGGCCTTGGTTGATCTAAAGCTCACATTGTAAACCAGGCTGGCCTTGAACTCACAGAGACCCACTTACCTCTGCCTCACATAATTAGGGGACTTGAAGGAATATCCAATCCATTTTGTTTTCCTTTTCCAAAAATATAGTTTGTGTCTATGTGTGTTACTCAGATTGTGAGTTGCCTGACATGGGTGCGGGGAAACAAACTCAGGTCCTCTGTAGGAGCAGAAAGTGGTCCCAATGTTTGAGCCACTCCTCCAGTTCCTATTTCCTTTCTTTGAAAAGAAATAGCCAAACTAGTCTCCAAATCCTCACTACCACCGGGATTACAGGTGTGCATCACTATACAGTGATAGGTTTTTCTTTTTTTTTTTTTTTTTGGTTTTTCGAGACAGGGTTTCTCTGTGGTTTTGGAGCCTGTCCTGGAACTAGCTCTTGTAGACCAGGCTGGTCTCGAACTCACAGAGATCCGCCTGCCTCTGCCTCCCGAGTGCTGGGATTAAAGGCGTGCGCCACCACCGCCCGGCTTTAGGTTTTTCTTTTTAAGAGAACTAAGTCATGCTTTTCTGTCTATGGCAGCAGAGCATGACACAATTATTGGAAAGTCACTTGCATACATGTGTGCACACAAGCCTGTGGATACCAGAGGTTGACATGCTATCAGGTGTCTATCATTTCCCACCTTATTTAAATTTATCTATATATTTATTTTAGATAGTGTCTGATAGTGTCTAGCTGGCCTGAAATGCTACTAGGGTGGCCTTAAACTCAGTGATTGACCTGCCTCTGTCTTCAGAGTGCATCAACACACGGGCCCCACTTTAGTTTTTGAGGCAAGGGACAAGGTCTCTCACTGAATCTGAAGCACAATAATTTGATAGACTTCCTGGCCAGGAAGCTCCAGGAATCTGCCAGTCTCCATTCCCCAGTACTGCGGTTACCAGAAATACGTATCACTAAATCTTGCTTTTACATAAGAACCAGAAATACAAATTCAAGATCTTGTACTTTCTTGACAGGCACTTTACTGAACTGAGCCATCTTCCCAGCCCTTAGCATTGTTCTTTTAATGCTCTCTTAGCCACTAATGTTTCACATGGGATTTTCTTCTAAAGAAAGCATCTAAGAAGAAAAAACAATGTTCGAACTCTTCTTACAGCTTCACTGACCAAGTGGAAACACTGGAAACAATCTCAAGAAAACATAGTCTCAACACCTTGCATCCCTCTTTATAGAAAGCATCCAGCATGAGGGAAATCATAGAGTAGTGTAGGAAATGTTTACAATTTAGCATGCAAGAAAAATCAAGACATGATAGTATTTGTGCTGGTATTACCACATCCAAAAAAGGATGCTAAGAGCAGAAGGAAACAGGAAAAGGTGACAACAGCTGGCAGGAATTGTCCTGACAGTAAGATTGCACCTATTCCTTATGCAACACCCTTTTCCCAATTATTAACATCACAGGAGAAACGGCAAAGGCATTAATGTTGCTATGAAACATTAGCCAACTAAACATAATACCCAATGTCCTAATTTTAGGGCAGTTTTTAGGTGAAAGTCTAAGTTTAAAGTGACATAAACTCTCATGGAGTGGACACTGCGAAAGATGTCAAACAACCTCTTTACTTGAGTAGGAAGTTGGGAAAGAAACACCTATTAAATGATACAAGGTGGTAGAGACGTTGCCTCAGGGGAGTGACTATGAATGTGGGCCTAACACAGCATATGTCCCTAGACACTGTTCAGGGCCATGTAGTACTCATATAAGCAGTCTAGTTCAAGAAAAGCCAGAAATCCAGACAGATTGTGAAATCACTTCATTTTTAAGCGTGGTAATAGGAATTTTAAAGAAAGATTCTAAAGACAAACAAAACATCTGCAGACTGGATATATCTGTGGGATGTGTTGGCCTTTGGAGTCAAGTGGGCCTGAAGATTACATCTAAGGATGTAGGATGAAGAGGTTGGGGAAAAGCCTGACCAATGTCCACCCTGCCCAGAAAGATTAACGAAGTGTTTAGAACATAACTGAGCTTTACTCAGTCCTATCAGCTCGCTTCTGACTCACCTCAAGTGATCGTATACGGCTCCTTACACAAGGAGAATGATCAACTCTGCCTTCTATCTCCTCTGGTCAGCAGCCAAACACAGCATACACATCATCAGGGAAAAGAAGCCACCAGGAATTCCCTCAGGCTTGTTTTGGAAGCTGAAACTCCTGGTGACTATACAGTTGGGTATGGCTCTCACTGTGGTTACTGCTGTTACATGTCAAAGACACCAGTCCTGCTTATTGCCCACCTCCAGGCCCTACTGTGGTTTTGGAGGAACTAACAAGCCTAAGCCAGAGTCTTGAAAAAGAAAAACAAGAAAACAAAAAAACAAAAAATCATACTGCCTTTGTGCTGACTCAAAGCCCTTTCTTTTTTATTTATTTATTTATTGAGAAAAGGAGAAAAAAAAAAAAACAAGTTTCCACCTCCTCCCAGCCTCCCATTTCCCTCCCCCTCAAAGCCCTTTCTTTATGTTACAATTTTCCCCAACCCACTGTGCAGAAGCAGCTGTTACCTGGCCACAAAACTGGCAGTCTTGTCAACGATATTCCTGACCTCTGGAGGAGGGTAAATAATCCCTACCACTGGCTTGGAGGGAGTGGATTCCTCCTTTGATGTTGCTTCTTCTTCAACTGGCTGTGAAAACAAAAGAAAAGATCTTCAAATTCCTGGTTTGGGTTAGGCTATCATAAACCAGCTTCTAGCATTTCTCCAAGACATGGCTGACAATAGTCTTTGTCCTGCAGACTTCTTATATGGGGCCATTCCCAAGAGCTAGGGAAAAGAATGGCTTTCTTGGCTACCCTTCAGACAGGCAGACTGGTGTGATCAGATACACAATTTTTTTTTTTTTTGCTTATTTGCTGACATAGGGCTGAAACTTAGAGCCTTACACATGCTAAACAAGGAACTGATTATACCCTTAGCATCCAAAAGGCCATGTCTTTAGCCCTGAATCTAGTATTGCGTCTTTCACAGAATACTTAATGACTGTCTGCCAAAGAGCAGCTCAGCAGTTTAATGTGTTTACCCTGCATGAGGTACTAGGTTCTATACTTAACACAAACAGAAATAAAGGAGAGAAAAAAGAAGAAGAAAAAAGTCTGGCTGATAGATCATTTTGTCTTAATTGTCCATTTTTTTATCCACCAGTTCCATAAACCTAGCCACTGTTAAATGCATAAATGGTTTGTGGAGCTTCAATGGAATTTGACACCAACGGTTCTTTAATGCTTTATCCAGCAGCTTCTTCTTCCTCTCAGTTAAGAGTTGGGCTCTCATCTTAAAAAACTGGGATTCCCTCCATCTTCATGTTCCTCTGGGCTGCTGCCTTCCCCTTGTTCTTCCTCTGGCAGCTGAACATTACAAGTTTCTACTCCATCTCATTTACTTCAAGTATTTTATTTATTTATTTATTTATTTATTTACTTAGGGGGTTTTTGAGACAGGGTTTCTCTGTGCAGCCCTGGTTGTTCTGGAACTCACTTTGTAGACCAAGCTGGCCCCAAACTCACAGAGATCCGCCTGTCTCTGCTTCCTGATTGCTCAATTCAAATATTCTTGGCAGCTGCGGGAGCCTTGTCTTCTGTCTTCTACATTTTACCTCTTAACCTATACACTGGAAACCTCTAAACCAGCAGTTCTCAACCTGTGGGACTCGACTCCTTTGGGAGTTGAACGTCCCTTTCTTTCATAGGGGTCGCCTAAGACCATCCTACATATCAGATATTTATGATTAATAACAGTGGCAAAATGCAATTATGAAAGCAACAAAAATGGCTTCATGGTTTGGGGTTACAGCACAAAGACCTGCATTAAAGGGCTGCAGCATTAGGAAGGCCAAGAATCACTGCTCTAAACATATGGTTTACGATTTCTTCTCAGTATTCTGTCTTCAGCCAGACACTCTTGAGAACTATGTTCTACATTTCCTTTCCCTACTTTAGGCTGAAAAATCCTGCCTACATCAATCTCCCAGGCAAGTCTTGAATACCACCAAGCTTTAGAATGGTTTTCCAGGTCTCCTGAGCCTCCCTAATTCACCAAACACAAAGTACACCCCAGGCACTTGAAGCGTATTAGCTCTTAGGATCCTGATGCCAACCTTGAAGTGTTCTTACTCCAGACCACAGGAATAACAAACTTGTGCCTGGCCCCCAGACAGAATCAGGATTCTAGCACATCACTTTGGCTGGAGAGCCTGTGCCAACACCATTCTGGGACAAACACTTGCCCATCCCTCAAACCCTCAGTGTCTTTGGGATACGGTTAACTGTTTCTCGTCCCCCTCTTTACAGCACTGCAAGTCTATGTTTCTGAAACACAAATGGCACTATCCAGCCTAAACTATCTCCCACTGTCCTCATAGACATGTTCAAATCCTACCACCATTATCCCAAATTTGTACTTGAGCCACACTTGTTCACGTACCTTTGAGAAAAGAGGGAGCACCTGACTCTACCGTGGTGTAACTATTATTTGGTATCACCTTGTCTGTTATTCCCCAGTGTCAATGAAAATACACAAGCATACAAATACGTAAACGTTTGGAGAAAGGACATGGGCTTTATCTGTCATATTTGGGATTGTGTTCTGAACCCAAAGCAACAATCAGCATATAGTATGTGCCCGGTAAGTGTATGTTGACTAATTTCCTTTCCCCCATCACTCTTCATTGTTATTCTTTCCTGCAAAACAGCCACTCACCTCTCACTCCTGCGGACTTTCCTCACATTCATTTCCCCTCTGCTCCAGCAAGCAGTGCTGGTTAAATTCATGGCTTATTTGTATCCAACCCACATACTTCCACCTCAGCAATCTGTTAGCTTTTGGGTCTCGCCCTGTAGTCCAAGCTAGCCTTCAATTCATGATCCTCCTGCCTTAGACCCACAAATGCCGGGATTACTGACGAGTGTCATGGGCCCAGCCTTGAGAGCTTTTAAAGGCTGCCTGACATTTTATCACTTAACACCGACACAGAAAATAAACATTGAGTGTTCATGCATGCCTGTACTTTCACTAGTCTGGGCTCTCTCTTAAGGCAGGAGTTACGCCTCATCCGTTCTCCAATGATGAAGACTGGATCCTTGTCCGGTTTAGGAAAAGCACCTCGTAGGTGTTTGGGAAAAACGAAAAAGACATAAGGCAATCTAGGAAATTAGCGATTACTGGACAAATGCTGAGCGACGGGGAGGCCCAAAAGCCACAGTGAACAGACAGGCCCAATGCTTCTCACATCTGAACGAAACAGCTTGGGATCGGGTTAAAATAAGGTTTAGAGCGGAGGCTTCGTGATTCTAATAAGCTCCCAGGTGAAGCCTAGGCTGCAAGTCCGCAAGCTTCTTTGACAATTCCGGTTCTAGGGAGCTTTTTGGGACCAGAAGGCAACGCAGCGCGTTGACTCCTGGGACTTGCAGTCCCTTCACGTCCTTCAGGGCTGCCTGGGCTTCCAGCAGGAGTGCCGTAGAGCCCGCGCGGGAGGGGAGGGACGAGGCCTACACCGGGGCAGCGGGCTGAGGAGCACGGGGCGCGGTACCTGTTTGGGCTCAGTAGCTACTGGCGGCGGCGGAGGCACCGCCTGCACGGGTCCGGCGGGCATGACTGCGACGCTCAGAGCTGCCAGTCCGCCTCAGGGTGACAACCGGTACGGCGGTGAGGTTAAGCTCCCCACACGAAGGCTACAACGCAATGGCAAGATGGCTGCGACCCAGCGGAAAGCCGCGGAAGGCAGTGAACACACTTCCGGCCCCGCCCCCCGGCCTTGGCGCACTTCCCACCCCGTAGCGCGGGCACGGCGGCGCGCTACGTTGTTGCCATGGCAGCGGTCTGGGCGCGCTGCTAAGGGTTTCGAGGGATCCCAGGAGCCGCAGACGCCCTGGGGGAAGTTCTGTGAGCCGGCCACACACAGAGCTGAGGCTGCGACGCCGGAGACAGGTGAGCTGAACTCCCCTCGCGGCCCTGGCCGCTTCTCGCTCCCTGCGACCGCACCTTCCAAGCCCCCTCCACTCCAGTCTTCCTTCCTGCTTGGCCTGTCATTTTGAAGAATTTTCCTCCCATTAGACCTGTTGCCGTAGAGTCCCACCTAACTACACCTTTAGTCCCTTGATTCTGATCAGCACCATCTCCTCCGGATCCCTCCTTACAGAGCCCAAGCCCGCAATTCCCTGGGGTCTCTTCCCACTGGCCTCTTTTGTAAGGTGCACCCTAACTTCCATAGCCCCGCCCTCAAGCCCGACCTCCTCCAATCACAGCTGTTCTTCAAACTCCAACCGGTGCCGGCCTGCAGACCACGCCTCTCGCTTCCCGGAGTCGTAAACCACCGTCTCTACTCTCTTGAGATCTTCTAGGTCCCCATTCCCTTTCCTCTCCCAATTCCCCGAATACCGAAAGAGGGTTCTGTGCTCATCCTGCCTCGCTTCACCTGTGAAATGGGGCAACAACAAAACACCCAAGGTCCCTCTCCATCCCCTCGGTAGCTGGTTATTTCACTGTTGTTAATGCAGAATAGGGATAGTTAGGATCAGTTGGACATTTATTTACTCCAAGCTAGATCCTGTGTCAAACACTACAGGTAATGCATCATTTGCTCCTTAGAGCAAGCTGTTTGCTGGTGAAGACCACGAAGTAAGAGTCCATACTAAGGAGGGGAAAAAAAATTTGCATGGGGGGGGGGGGGGAATCCATTCTCAGTCCAGTTTTCTCTACTAATCTGATGTTTATTACTATATCTTTACTGTGTCACTTTAATGTCCCAAGGGGTCCAGACAATAGCTAACTCGGGTCAGAGATTGGCAGTTGTCATGTACGTGGTTTTAGAGTTTAAAAATACTTTCTTAGTAGTGACCGAACCTCAGGGGCTTCAGGCTGCCTGAGAAATAAGCACGGTCTTCAACTACAGTGTTAGTTGTTTGAGAGAGGGAAGACTAAAGGTTGAATGGAGAGAAAGGCTCCTGTCCTTCCTTGGGAGTCTGAAAACCTCAAATTACATTCTGAGCTGCTACCCCTGTAATAACAGTGTTGCTTCCCTTAGAGCCATAACCTCTGTGGTCACAGGCGCAGATCAGAGCTGGTAGCTTCATGTTTATCGTTCACTCAAGACCTAGGAATGACAAAGCGCGTGTCACATGTTCTTCACAAGCACACTATAAATCTGCATAAGCTCTATTTCTAAAAGAATCAATAGAGAGTAACCTTGGGTATTCTGTGGGCATACATGTTTGTGGTGCTGACGGCTTGCCCAGGGCTTCAGACATGTTAAGCAAGTGCTGTCCTCCCAAGCTGTAGTGTCTGCTTAACTTTGACTATTCTTGTTGTTTTGACCCAGAATCTTATGGGAATTGGTATCCAAGATGGCCCCAGTAAACAGATTGATTTTTTTTTTCACTCAGTGCTTTGTCTCCTGAACATGCTTCTCCCCAGACTGGAACTTCTTGCTCACTTTATTTCCTTCATGTTCTTCCCTGGAAAGAAATCCAGGTTATCTCATGTTGTTTTCCTTGTTGTCTTCACTTCACTTGGGGACATAAAAATCTCTTGGGCTGCACTGTCTCACCAGAGGCGGTTGCCAAGTCAACACATGGGAGATATGAGTCAAATGTATTTGTTTGTATGTAAGTATTATGGGCAACACTCCTTGCAGGGAGTTAGTGGTTTCTAAAGGCTCTCTCCTTCCTCCCAATTTTCACTTTATAGCCATGGATGTCCTTGAACTTGCATTCCTCCTGCCTTAGCCTCCTAAGAGCTAGGGTTACAGGCCTGTGTTACCATACCCTGCCTGACCCTAGCAGGTAGATTTTCAATCCCATTGTTGATAAACACATAGCATTTTACCCTCTGCACTGTACTGCACAACACAGTAACCACTAGCCCCATGTGGCTTTAAGTATTTGAAATAGGACCAAGTGTGGTGGAATCACCTTTAATCCCAGTACTGAGAGATAAAGACAGGTGGATCTCTGTGAGTTTGGGGCTAGCCTCGTCTATACAATGAGTTCCTGGACAGTTGGGGCTATGTAGACAGACATAAAACAAAACAAAACAAAAATTTTTTTAATTGAGATTTGACCCATATGGGTCAAATAAGCACTGGACTTTGTGGCTTAATAAATTTAAAAAAAATGTTTAAGGGCCGGGCGGTGGTGGCGCATGCCTTTAATCCCAGCACTTGGGATGCAGAGGCAGGCGGATCTCTGGGAGTTCGAGGCCAGCCTGGTCTACAAGAGCTAATTCCGGGACAGGCACCAAAGCTACAGAGAAACCCTGTCTCGAAAAAAAAAAAAAAACGTTTAAGGGTTTGGTGTATAGCTTAATCAGTAGAGTATTTTCCTAGCATTCACAAAACCCTGAGTTCACTCTCCAACATCACTTGTAGAGGCTGGTGGTACACACCTGTCATGAGAGCACTTGGGAAGTAGAGGTGTGGGGGATCATATCTTGAAGGTCACCCTTCTCAAAGTCAAGGCCAGCAGGGGTACCTACAAGACTGCCTTTTTTACTTCTTTCTCTTTGTGTTTTTTGTTTTGTTTTTAGTTGTTGTTGTTATTGTTGTTTAGGTTTTTCAGGACAGGGTTTCTCTGTGTAAGAGTCCTGGCTGTCGCAGAACTCACTTTGTAGACCACATTGACCTTGAACTCACAGAGATCTGCCTGTCTCTGCCTCCCAGGGGCTGGGATTAAAGGCTTGGACCACCGAGCCCAGTACAAGCACGTCCTAAAAAAAATATTACCCAGGCTGTAGAGATGACTCAGAAATTGAGACCATGTATTGCTCTTGCAGGAGCCCTGAGTTCACTTCCCAGCACTCATGTCAGATGGCTGACCTGCGTGTACCATCAGCTCCATGGGATCCAACACCACCAGACTCCATGGGTATCTACAAACATCAGTCACACTTACACTTACAAATAAACAAATTAAAAATAAGTAAAAAGCCAAGTATGATGACACACACCTTTTGTCTCAGCCCTCGGGGGAGTATGGGACAGGTGCAGGCAGGTTTCTGTGAGTTTGAGGTCAGCCTGGTCTGTGCAGTGAGTTTCAGGACAGCCATGGCTACATAGTGAAAGCCTGTCTCAAAAAATAGAAAATAATAAACAAAAATCCTAATTTCATATTGAGTTTATGTTGAAATAATGTCTTGAGTATATTAGGGTAAATAAAATTAAATTTTCTTTTTTCACTCCTTTTTTAAAAGATTTACTTATATTTATGTGTATGGGTGTTTTGCCTGCAGGCATGTCCAGGTACTACATGTGTGCATGCCTGAAGACACAAAAGAGGGCATCACACCCTCTAGAACTGGAGGTACCCATAGATGCTTGTGGGTGCTGAATCTGGGTCCTCTGCAAGAGGGCCATCTCTCCTGCTTCCTTTTTGCTTTCTTTTTTAATGTGGTCTAAGAAAGGGAAAGTAATATTTTAACTTACTCATCACAAGGTTCATGACTGAGATCCCTAATAAGACAGATGTTAAAAAAAAAAGGAAGGAAGGAAGGAAGAAAAGACTGAGATCCCTAGTAAGACAGATGTTTAAGAAAAGAAAGGAAGGGAGAAAAGAAAAGAAAAGAAAAGCAGGGCTGCATATACACACCTTTAATCCTAGCACTTGGGAGGCAGAGACAGGTGGATTTCTGAGCTGGAGGCCAGCCTAGTCTATATGGCAAGTTCCAGACCAGCTAAAGCTACATAGTGAGACCCTATCTCAAAAACAAAACAACAATGTACTTGTTTATTATTATGTGTTGATGTATGTATACATACATGCATGTGTCACAATGCCTGTGTGTAGGTCAAAGGACAACTTTTGTGAATTGATGTTCTCCTTGTACCACATAGGTTCTGAGGATAGAACTCAGCTTGTCCACCTTGAGTGACAAGTGTTTCACCTGCTGGCCATCTCTCTGACTCCAGATTTTTCTTTGCACTCTCCTGTGGTACTCCTCGCCAAGCAGATTTCCCACAGAATGCCAGGCATACAAGGTCTTCAGTGAGAAGGGAGGGGAGCCAGTGTTCCTGCTGCCAGGCATACAAGGTCTTCAGTGAGAAGGGAGGGGAGCCAGTGTTCCTGCATTTACCACCTTTTCAGGGAAGCGTGAGGGGACAGGAAAGGTGGCCTCTGTGCTTATGCCATTTTCTGTTTCCAAGCCCCTTTCTTTGTATTATACTTCTTTTGGACATGGCTATTCTAGAAGCAGCATGGCCTAAGGATGGAAGAAAGAGGGTAGATGGAAAATTCCTGCTGCCTGAGTGGTTTCTCTAGGTTCCACTTTCCCCTTTTCTGTATAAAGGGGATAGATTTGGGGCAGTGGCACTTCTGTGATCAGGCTGAAGGTCTGTATGCTCCCCAATCTTTTTTTCTCATCCCTGTTGCAAAGAGGGGCTGCTTGTTAGTCCCAGCTGCCCGGCTAGCTTAGCCCCAAAATAACTACACAGAAGCTGTATTATTAAATCACTGCTTGGCCCATTAGCTCTAGCCTCTTATTGGCTAACTCTCACATCTTGATTTAACCCATTTCTATTAATCTGTATATTGCCACATGGCAGTGGCTTACCAAGAAAGATTCAGCATGTCTGACTCTGGCGGCTCCATGGCAGCTCTCTCTCTCTCTCTCTCTCTCTCTCTCTCTCTCTCTGCTTTCTTCCTCCCAGCATTCAGTTCTGTCTTCTCCACCTACCTAAGTTCTCCCCTATCAGACCAAGGCAGTTTCTTTATTCATTAACCAATACAAGC